AAACAGCATGGTATTGGCACCAAAACTGATATGAAGACCAATGGCACATAGAAGACACAAAGATAATTCCACAAAAACACAATTATCTTAGACTAAACAAAGGCACAATAAACATACATTGGTGAAAAGATAGCTTCTTCAACAAAAGGTGCTCGGAACAATGAAAAACATACATAGCAAACGAAATTAAACCCCTACTTCTCACCCTGCACAAAACTCAAAGTGGATCAAAGACCCAGGCATTAGACCAGAGACCCTGCACCTACTAGAAGAAAATGTAGGCCCAAATCTTCATGTCATTGGCTTAGGAACCAAATTCCTCAACAAGTCTCCAAAGTGCAAGAAAAAATCAAGAGTCAATAAATGGGATGGTATCAAACAAAAAACCTTCACAGCAAAGGAAATAATCAAGAACATGACCAGAGAGCCTACAGAATAGGAGAAAATCTTTAACACGTGCACCTTAGATAGAGCACTAATCTTCAGGATATACAAAGAACTCAAAAAACTTAATACCAAAAAAAACAGATAATCCAATCAATAAATGGGCTAAGGAATGAACAGACACTTCACAGAACAACAAATACAGTCAACAAACATGAAAAAATGTTCAACATCTCTAGCAACTAGAGAAATGCAAATCAAAACTACCTAAGATTTCATCTCACTCCAGTCAAAATGGCAATTATCAAGAATACAAGTGAGGGCTGGGGATGTGGCTCAAGCAGTAGCGCGCTCACCTGGCATGCGTGCGGCCCGGGTTCGATCCTCAGAACCACATACAAACAAAGATGTTGTGTCCACCGAAAACTAAGAAATAAATATTTATAAAAAAAAATTAAAAAAAAAAAAGAAAAAAGAAAAAAAGAATACAAGTGACCGTAAATATTGGTGAGGATGAGGGGGAAAAGGTACACTCATACATTGCTGCTAGGACTGCAAATTGGTGAAACCACTCTAGAAAGCAGTATGGACATTCCTCAGAAAACTTGGAATGGAACAACCATTTGACCCAGTCATCCCACTCCTAGGTTTATATCCAAAGGACTTAAAATCAGCATACTATAGGATTCGGCCACATCAGCTCAATTCACAATAGCTAAGTTATGAAATCAACCTAGGTGCCTTCAATAGATGAATGGATAAAGAAAATGTGGAACACATACACAATAGAATATTATTCAGCCATAAAGAAAAATGAAATTATGGCATTTGCTGGTAAATGGATGGAACTGGAGACTATCATGCTAAGATAAATAAGCCAATCCCAAAAATACAAAGGCTGCTCTGATATGTGGATGCTAACACACAATACGATGGGGGTGTATAGAAGTTCATTGGATTAGACAAAGGGAAATGAAGGGAAGGGAATGGGGATGGGAATAGGAAAGAGATTAGAATGAATCGACATAACTTCCCTATGTTCACATATGAATACACAACCAGTGTAACTCTACATCATGGGCAACCACAAGAATAGAAAGTTATACTATATATAACTCTATAGAAGTTGTATTATCTGTACTCTAGGTACATACACTCTGTGTATGTATGTCAAAATACAATCTAATTKCATGATATCTAAAAAGAACAAATAAATTGTAACAGGAAAAAAAAAAAGAAAAATGGCAGCTAGTTTGCACCCCATTAACGAGAGATCCAAACAAGAGCTAAGCAGAAGGTATTAATGCTTTTTTTAGGACCTAGTCTCAGAAATCACATACTGTCACTTTTGCCATATTCTGCTGGTTCCAGAGACCCTGACTAAATGTGAAAGGGGCCTAGAGAGGACATGATTATCAGAAGGCATCACCAAGGACCATTTTGGAAGCTGGTTCCTTTAAACCTTATCTGTTAACTAGTAAGGCAAAATCAAAGGAATCTAAAACAGATCAGAAATTTTTAGGGGCTGAGGTGAGAGGCAGAAGAATGATTACAAAGGTGCTTGAGCAAATTTTTTAGAATGCAATATATTTGTATAGTGTAATAATAATCATCAATGAAAAGGAATATTATGGTTTGGATATATGGTATATCCCAAAGCTCACGTGTGAAATAATGCAATAAGGTTCAGAGGTGAAATGATTAAATTATGAAAGGTCTAACCTGATCAGTGGATTAATCCTCTAATGGATTAATAGGGTGGAAACTATAGGCAGGTAAGATGTGACTGGAGGAGGTAGGTCATTTGGGGGTGTGCCTTTGAGATTTATATTTTGTTCCTGGTAAGCACGGCTCTCTCTACTTCCTGTTGCCATGTTCTGAGCTGCATGACTCCACCACACACTTCTGCCCTGATGTTCTGCCTCACTTGTGGCCCAGAGTTAAAGAGTCAGCAGTCTATAAACTGAGATCTCTGAAGCTATGAGCACCAAATAAATAAATATTGCCTCCTCTATGTCATTCTTGTCAGTTCTTTGGGTCACAGCAAAAAACAAACAAACAAAAAAAACTGACTAAAACAAGGAACAAACTACTGTTATATGCAACAGCAAAACTCACAATGGCATTATGTTAAGTGAAAAAAGCCAGACCCAAAGGCTATATAATATATGGTTATATTCATAATGGCATTTTGGAAAGGGCAAAAATTAAAGGAATCCAAAACAGGTCAGAATTTTCAGGAGCTAAGGTGAGAGGCAGAAGAATGACCACAAAAGGGGCTTGAGGAAACCTTTAGAATGTCAAAAATGTTCTATATTTGACTGTCATGACTCATATTTTTGTTAAAATTCAGAGACCTGTACACCTAAAAGGGGTGAATTTTACTTTATGTAAATTATACCTCAATAAACTACTCATAAAAAGAGAAGAGAACCTCAAGGGCAGAGACGCTTGCATGAGAGGATGGATACAGAAGTCTTATTAGTGTGTAAGTAATAAAAATTTCTGAAAGAAGAATAGCTACCAAACTAATAGATTGTATGTGTGCGCGCGCGTGTGAGTATATGTGTGTTCATGTATACAGATATTTTGTGTGTGGAGAGGGGTACTAGGGATTAATCCAGGGGAACTTGACAACTAAACCACTTTTTATTTTTTGAGACACAGTCTCATTAAATTGCCAAGACTGGTCCTGAACTTGTGATCCTCCTGTCTCAGCCGCCCAGGTAGATGGGATTATAGGTATGTATCAGTATATCTTGTTTAAAAAATTATAATTTAAGTTCTTCAACTTAAAGAAATTTATCTTGAATCTGCAGATTGAAAATACCTATCCAATTGTTGGTTAGATAGATGAGGGAAGATAAATACATAGCCTGCCCTGCCACATTCTGGCAAGTGTTGAATTACAAGAATAAAGAGAAAAATCTTAGATGCTTCCAGAAAAAACAAAGTTACTTAGAAAACAGGAGACAGTTATAAGTCTTATTACCTGCAATATGGCAAAAGAGGATAAGAAAATAGCATTAACACATTAAGAGAAAAGAACTGCTACCCAAGACGTCCATCCAAACCCAGGCTAAAAGAAATTCTTTAAGGTATGTAATCACTCCAAAACTGTGTCACTCATTTATCCTATCTAGGAGAACTGCATCTATCTATCTAGGAGAACTGCAAACAAAAAATGTTAAGTAAATAACAATGAAATCATAGCAGAGATGGAGAGGATAAAGAAGAGACCTTATGACCTCTAGTTAAATACATAGTTAAGTACATAGGACTAAAAGCAGTTGAACAAAAATATGTAATAAAACTCAATCATTAGAATTTTAAAAAAGCATCTAAACAAAAAGAATACTCAACTTAATCCAGTGTACAATGATATTATTGTAAGTTAACTATTGTCAACAGCTTTTTGGTTTTATTTTACCTGGTTTGCAAGATGAGAGTGACCAAACAGCTTGTGACCCAATTTCCCTTACTGTTCCAGTCCTTTCCAGCTGCTTAGGATCTGCACCAGGAGGTGTTTTGTTTGGTGTGGTCATTTTTTAAAATATTCTATGTAGAAACAAAGAATACATACATTATACCAGGACCTGAGCATCTTTCTGAAAAAGGTAAAAATTAAAATTTAATAGCAAAATGAATCACTCAAATACCCCTTCATCTTTCATATCTTTTGTTAATCTTAGCAAATCTATACAAATGTGAAAAAATACTTCTTGGACATTGAAGAGTACATAAAACTGCTCTGGCTGTGCAGTAACTGCTACTGAACATTATTATGAACGCTAAACAAGTCCAAAAAATCTTTACCATCTCCCTTTAGATCTTAAGTTGTTCCAATACAGCCACACATTAATAATTACTCATTAAATCATGGCAAGAGGCCGAAGGCAGCAGGGGTACAGTATTTGCCTAGCATGCACAATGCTCTGGATTCAGTACCCACCACCGCAAAATAATAATGAYGACAGTGGAGGCGGTAGGCGGCAGAGACAATGGACTGTAAACTAAGGCCTGAGACTTAAAAACTCAATGAGTAATGTATTGAACGAATAAATGGTTAAATAAGTTCATTCATAAGCTAAACCTGTAGCCATCACTAAAAGCTGAATGGCCACCATCTTAATAAAAGAGAAAGAAGGGAAAAATAAGAAAAGAAAGAAAAGGAAAAAAGAAAAAAAATTAAAAGCCCATTTGTACATTGGGACAGAACTGAGTTGGATGGACGCCACCAAGTGGCTAAAACACAGAGCTCGGAGAAGTCTAGGTCTCTGCCCTGGAAGAACCTAGCACACAATTCAAAGGAAGCTGGAGCCAAGACAAGAACACCATCGCGAGCGCAGTGGGGACTAGCCTATAGGACCTGCTTGACACTTCTGGCGTACCAGAATGACAGAATGACGAGGGCTCCTGCACACCTGGCCCACCAGCCTGGAGGAGACGGCGAATTAAACATTGAGATTGAGAACGCATCTGCTAACGCCAGGACCGTTCTCTACGCTGGGGAAAAGCCCACGCACTTACAGCTTCCAGACTTGGTTTGCCACAACTGAGGCTCTCAGGGCCGGCCAGAGACCCACGCCACTCCCACTCCACTTCTACAGACAGCCTGGCTATCCCAACGACGACTCAGGACGGGGGTCGCAGCCCTATGACATCACATACCGTCATCTCTCCTAACCCACCTCCAGGGCTCCGCCCCGCGCTCTGTCGCGCACGCGTACTACGTCCTTATGGCTTACGCGAGGCGGCGACTAGGCACCGCCATTTTGGCCGATGGCCGCAGGAACACGCTGTCTGGCTGAGACGTGAAGGCAAAAGCTGTCTTGGCCTGTGCACTCCCCACCACAAGGGGATCGCTTTCTCCAGGTACGTGAGTAGGTGGGAGGGGTTTGGCCTTTACCTGACTTCTGCCTCTTAGGAAAGACGCGACGTTCCGAKAGCCTGTGTTTAGGCCTTGGGTGACGGCTGGGGACAGCAGCAGCGCGTGGCTGCCGCGGGACAGCTGGAACCGCCTAAGGGCGGGTGGCGCCGGTAGCCGGGGGCGCGGAGCACTTCCGCTCCAGCAGTCCTGGCTCTCTGTTGCTCTTGTCCACCCCAGCCAGCGGCTTGGAGAGTGGTCCTTCATGCCGTCGCCTCGGAGATCCAACCTCTGCCGCCTCCGCTCGCTCTTTTCCCTGCTCCTACCCTGCAGCTGACCCTTCTGGAGAGGAAGGCACCTTCAGAACTTGCAGTATCCCCTCACAGTAAAACGGCTGTATCATCACATATGACATTTGGCTGTGGGAAGCTGTGGCTTTCTTTCTGCCGTTTGATGATTGTGGAATGAGTCATGGCATCTTGCCGCCATGAAGTCGAATACTAGGTCCACTCCCAGCTTCCCAGAAATTATCATAGAGCGACGTATACTAGGCTATGATTGGGGTTATCTCATGTAATTTCCCAGTTGAAGGCCTATAGTTTGTGGGGGGAGGTACTTTCCCCCTTGGTGGCTTATCCGTTTTTCACTTTTTCATATCTTAAATTCCTTGAGTTCAAGGATGATACTCARTACGTATTTGCTGGAATGAATGATAGCCAAATTCCCACAACCCATGTACTACATAATTTTTTTTTTCCTTTTTCTAAGTGGCAAAATCGATGACTAAGGAATAACTGTCAAAACAACTTTTTGTTGCTTTTACCCTGTCTTCCAAGGCACTGCTAAATAGACAGTTATGGTAGTGGCATGTACCTTGCAATCATTTGTCCTGTATGCTGAGAATATTCATTCAGTACCAAATACCTGACAATGCTTTCGGTATAACAAAAGGTTTTTATCTGTAGTTGAACCAAAAGGTTTTTGTGGGTCATTTTTTAATTAAAAACTTGGTTCTCTCATACTTCAAAAAGAATTCTTATAAGTATTTTATATAACTAATAGTCTACAGTAAGCATCGGTTAGAATATTGCACATGAACTCAACCATCATAAGTTAACAACAATCTTTTAAATGCTTTCAAACAGCATTATAATGATTTTGATTTTAGACTGCAAATGCCTCACTCTTTTTTTTCCTCCTTATTGGAAGAATGACAGCAAGGTCACCTTTTTGAGCACCTATTTTGAATAGTCTGTCTTCATTCAGATTTGAAATACATTTTAAAATCCCTTTTTATTCTCCTCAGTCATATATATACTATAATCTTCCCCACCAAACTTTACTCTGCCAGATCTTTCCTACTGAAAAAGAACATAGGGAATTCCTTTTCCCTAAGTCTTGAAAGTAACAGAAAAATTGACCTAATAGTGTTCACATAGTTGATTAACAATTGTGAAAATGTTTTTCTTAAGTGCATTATAACTTATCTCTATTTTTATACAAATCCATCTATTCCCTACCTCTGACATGTTTATACTCTTCTGTAAGCATATCTTTTGGTTTTCAAAAATAGTTTGAAAAATTAAATGAAACATTTTAATACCTTAATAAAAATAAAATTGGAGCAATTTTATGATAAAAGATTTATCCCCTGGGAGTGAATTTATTCACCAGCTAATTTGTAGAAAGGCATTCAGTATTTAAATTGGAACGCATGATGTCCAGTTTTATCTTAATAGCTTACTAAAAAATCTTTAGTTCTTAAGAATTTGTCATTTTTCAGAATAGTTGAATTACTACCGCTTTTATCATAGAATTAGTCATTTAATTTCTTCTAACCTTTCAGGGCCTGGGTGGGTTTTTAGACTAGTGAACTGGTTGGCTAGCATAGCTGTGTTTATTATATGCCTACTTAGTTTTGCGGGGGAGGTTCTTTTTTTCTCCGTATATAGTTTAGTGAAACAACTGTCACCATAAAATATTGGTAGCATGCAGGATTTTGGAAGTTGTTATAACCTAGAAGAAAATCACTGTCTTTAAATTAATTTTCTCATTCATTCAACAGAAATGTTTGAATTTCTATTTTGTGTAGGCACTGGTCCAGTCACTGGAACAAACAAAAATCCCTTTCCTCTTGATGATGGAGTACATTCTATTTGGAGAGGAGAAAAATGCATGTGGAGAGAGAGGGAGAATATAGAGAGAACCACATGTGCATTTATACAATACATATACACTAGGTAAGATAGCATGTCATATAATAGAGCTAAGGAGAAAAAAAAAATAAAACAAAAAGAGGGTTAAAAAGGCAGCTAGGTGGCCTGGAGCGGTGCTGTAATCCTAGCAGCTCTGGAAGCTGAGGCAGGAGGATCACAAGTTCAAAGCCAGCCTAGGAACTTAGTGAGGTCCTAATTAACTAGTGAGATTCTGTCTCAAAATTTAAAAAGGGCTGGGGATGTGGCTCAGTGGTTAAGTGCTTCTTTGTTCAATACCCAGTACCAAAAAAAAAAAAAAAATACCAGAAGGCAGCTGGGTATATTTTTTGGAGATGTCCTAAGAAACAGTAAAGACTTGAGAACTGAGCTATGTAGCTCTCTAGGGATAAGAGCTTTACAGGCAGAAGGAACAAAGTGCCAAGACCCTAAAGCAAGAACATGTCTGGTGTGTGCTAGGGACAATAAGGAGCCAATATGGCTGGAATCCATTGAACAAGAGCTAGAACAGTTGAAGATCAGAAAGTTCATAGAAGCTGATAAGCATCTTGATGATTATTTTAAGGACTTCACTTTTATTCAGGCTGAGAAGGGAAGCCACTGAACCATTTTTAAGTAGAGGAGTAATACAATTTGACTTACTCTTTGAAAGGATTACTCTGGTTCCTGAACTGAGAATGAGCTGTTGAGGGTTAGAGTAGGAGGAAAAGGTGAAAGGAAGGAGGTCTGGTCAGAAGCTATTTGAGTAATGCAGGTAAGAGATGGTGTTGATGGCTTATAAAAATTGTGAGAAGTGGCCAGATCTGGATATATTTTAAAGGTAAATTCAATAGGGTTAGTTTTTGTTGCTTAGAAAACAAAGATGACAAGGGATTTTGACCTGAGTAAATGGGAGATAAGTTACCATTTATCAGAATAGTAAGGCTGCTAAAAAAGAGGATTTTAGTGAGGATTGCAGTAGCTCAGTTGGGGAGATGCTGCTGGATCTCCCAACTGAGGAGGAGGTCTTGTAATCAGGTAGACATTCAAGTTTTGGGTTTGGGGAAGATATCCTGACTAGAAATAGAAATTTAGGATAAAAGTGGGATTTTAAAACATGAGACAAGAATAGAACATCTTGGGGAATGAATATAGATAGAAATGAGTCTTAGAACACTCTCAACATTTAGAGACCTTAAGGAAAAGGAAGGGAGTTACCAGGAAAATAATAGACCCAGATTAGTATTATATTTTACAACCACATCAAGAAGTGTTCAATGTAGTAAGAAAAAGTCATAATTTATGTCAGATGCAATATTTTGGTCAGATCAGTTAAGGTTTGATAATTAACCATTTGATTTAGCCATGTGAACAAAGATGGCATGATAAGTTGCTTAATGAAGCAGTGGGCTCTAAAGCCTGGAGTGGATTCCAGAGAAGAACGCATGAAGAGAAGTTTAAGACATTGAGTATAGGCAGTTCTTTCAGGTAACCTTAAAGAAGGAGAGGTAAAATAATGGGAGATGATGGTAACGAGATAACAGAATGCTGCAGTGTTGATGAGCATGAGCCAGTAAAGAAAATAACTGATGTGAAAGACAGGAGGGAGAATTTAATGAACATTCTTTTGGGGGACTGTATTCTGTGTACAAATAGACTTAGCTAGGGAAATAACATACAATTAGTCCTCCATGTCTGGGGGTTCTGTGTCTGCAGGTTCTGTATTCAACCAAAAATATTTGAAAAAATTTTTAATTACATCTGTGCTGGATATGTGCAGTCTTTTTTCTTGTCATTTTTCCCTAAACAGAAAAAAGTATAACAACAATTTAATAGCATTTACATTGTATTAGGTATTTTAAGTCATCCAGAGATGATTTGTAATATACAAGAGGATGTACACAGGTTATATACAAATAGTACACGCCTTTATATAAGGACTTGCACTTTATCTGGTTTTGCTGTACACTGGGGCAAGGAGAACCTGAAAGCAGTCCTCCATGGATAATGAGGGACCAGTATAGAGTGATTGCTCGTTAATGACATGAGGGTCCATTTGAGATGATGAATTTAAAGGGAAGTCAGTCAGCAGACTTTGTTTTTTTCTTTTTTTTCCTCCCCATTTCTGGCTCCAYGCAGATGAAGAAATGGATTTAACCAAGATTGTGGTTGAGGGTATAAATGATTGACAGTGTAATTTTAGCTAAGTTTGAAGGGAAATAAAGATAACTGTGGTGTAGTGGGAATGTGGCAGATCAAGAGATAGTATATTTGGAGGAGAGAGGAATCAAAGAGTTGTTGGATTGTTATGTATTAGATGGGTGAACTATAGGAGTGGTGGTTGGAGAATGAGGTGTTTGAAATTGAGGTTATGGATGGATTGTAGTTACTTGTAATGATGAGGTCCAGGGAATAATGAGTGGCTGTGGTAAGGTAGAAGACATTATTGGAAGAGAGGAGTTAACAACTGAGATGATATGCAATTAATAGAATGTCATCTGTGAGCAAATGAAAATAAAAAACTGTGTCAGGAGTTGTAAAAGAATGAAAGTTAGCCAAGGGCTAAAGTCTTCAAAGGATGAAAAGAATTTGAAGGTCTGATTGTCATTAATGACTAAAAAAAAAAAGCACTTGGATGATTTGAGAGATCAAACTTACTGTTTTTAGGAAAAAAGAGACTATAGTCTGGGAACATTGAAGAACAAGATCTCTTGTTCCTCTCCAAACCTAATCATATTGGTGGGTGTGAGAAAGATTTGAAAGGTGTGCAAAAGGGAAGTAGTCTATGAAAAAAGATCAGGTTAGAGGATCACAGAAAAAGCCAACACAATATCTTTAATGGATAGTCTTTTTTGCTTCAGGTTTCTTCATTACATATTGGAATAAACTGGAGTATGAAGGTACTTTTTGGAATAATCTATCTTCGTCACCATTCTGAGAAAATTAATGTCTGTGCACTAAGCCCAGTACCATAAAATTTTTTTATTAGTGCATTGTAGTTATTATGTATAACTAATGAAGTTTGAAATGGAGGTTATGGGATTCATTCCAGTATTATATAAAAGAATTTTCAGTTCACTTTCATCTTAATGCTCTATAGCTATTACACATGAAAACTTATAAAAGCCTTAAAATAAGCACGGCATATACATATAGTTGATTTCATTGCTATTAGCATAAAGTCCAATATTAGCCATATTGCAAGTTCCCAGTTGATCAGCATGATGATCATGGCCTTAATAACTATATTCCATTTTCATCAATAATATCTATTATAGTCAGTTGGATAAGACATGAAATATTCATGATTGGTTTGGGGTAGGGAAGAGCAGGCATTTTTATCATGTATATTAGTTCTCATATCTGATCTTCCCATTTGATTGGTCTCTATTCACACTGGTATCAGTATTAATTACTGAGACCTTATAATTATTTTTGAAATGGAAGTTTCCCCATTCTTTCTCTTCTTCAGCTTTCAAGACTGTTATCACTTCTTTGTTTTTTTCCATAAGAAGTTTAGATTTGTTTGTCTGGTTGGTTTTGGGATATTTGTTTGTTTCATGAGATTGGTTGAAATGTGTAAATATAGGGAGAATTCAGATAGCTAGTATTGGCTGTTCTGTATTGTAAAAACTGAGATAGCAGTTTATTTTACTTGGTTAGATCTTGTCATTTAGTGATTTTGAAAGTTCTCATATATTGTTCTAGGTGTTTTCTTTTTTATTGCTATTTTAAGTGCTTTGTGTTTTTCCTTATATAAATCTTCTGATTTAAGGTATGTTTATAAAATTGGTTTTCACAACTTTACTAGATACTTTTTACTATTTTAAAAAATTCTCTTGTGTTTTCCAGTTAATCATATAATGATTTTTTGTGTCCTCCTGTCTACTTTTTATGCCCATGAATATTCTTACCTAAATGTGTTGAATTTGCCATAATTTTATTAATTTTTTTTTTAACAGAAGAGCTGGATATTCTTACTTTGTTACAATTATGGCAGACAAATTAACAAGAATTGCTATTGTTAACCATGACAAGTGTAAACCTAAGAAATGTCGACAGGAGTGCAAAAAAAGTTGTCCTGTGGTTCGAATGGGTAAGTCGGGTGGATCACTTATGGATTAAAAAAAGGTCCTGAAAGAAAATAAACTGGTTTGATGTTTTTTTTTAATGAGCTTTAGCATATCCTTTGTTACCCCCACTAGTTTCTTTAAACTATAAAGATGAGATTCATAGTTTGTTCTAAATGTCTTTTATTGCTTATGAATAAATGACCCTGTTTAAAAAAAAATAGCCGTTTGTTTACTAAATGTGAAGTAAAATCAGAGATTACTGCGATTTTTACTCTTCTACAAAATTCTGTAATTACTTTTAAGTCTTGAGGATTACCAAAAACTTTCTTTCTATTTTACTGTATTCTCATCTTTAAAAAACAAACAAAAATAATAGCAATGACTATTTATAAAGTTTTGCTGTATATCAAGATTAAATAAATTTAACAATTCAAAGCTCACAAATTGTTGGTAGTCTTTAGAAAGGATATATTATGTGATCGCTACTTTGTACTAGTGAAGTCAAGACTTACTGAATCTTAAAAAGAAAATTTAAGCTGCATTCAGTGGCACACACTTATAAACCCACCTCTTCTAGAGGTGGAGTCAGAAGGATCACAAGTTCAAAGCCAGCCTGACCAACTTAGTGAGACCCTATCTCAAAATAAAAAGAATAAAAAGGAATGTCAAACATCTCAGTGGTGGAGCCTGTGTTCAGTCCCCAATAACAAAAAAGAGAGAAAATTTAGATGTCATCTATTACTATGTTCCATGCATACAAAAATTTCATTGTTAATATCCCTAATATCCTGTTTAATTTCACCTATGTATTATGTATATATTTACCTGTGCATAACTTTTTTGCTTTTAACTGATCTAGTTAACATTTCATCCCTACCTATAGTATCCTTGACTACATAAAAGATTCAGGTCAGAGGGCTGGGTCAGTGGTAAAGCGCTTGCCTAGTATGCATGAGGCACTGAGTTCAATCCCCAGCACCACATAAAAATAAAAACAAAGGAAATAAATGTATTGTGTTCATCTACAACTAAAAGAATATTTAAAAAAAAAAAAAAAGAAAAGATTCAGGTCAGTCAGCTTAAAAAGGTTCAGGGTTTGTTGTACTTTCGGTAGCATATTTTCTTCTCCAGTAGTAAATAAAACAAAATATATTAGAGTCATCTCCCTAATATCTGACAGGAATATTTGTGTAATTAATAAACTTAGAAACTGAATTTAGAAATTTACCCCCTCAGAACACTGATGTAAGACAGTATTTCAAATATATTTCTTTGTGTAGTCTTTGTTTTTGAAATTTGCTTCTCTGTGGAAATTTGGAACCAAAATTGCCTAAGTAAAGATGATCAGAAAATCATAGAACATAAGGGAAAATGACTTACTTTTTTTCTTTACCAGGAAAATTATGCATAGAGGTTACTCCCCAGAGCAAAATAGCATGGATTTCTGAAACTCTTTGTATTGGTTGTGGTATTTGTATTAAGGTAAGTGATAGTATTTTATTTAGTGTATCGCATCTTTAGCCCTAAAGTGAACTATGAAAATTCTGACTACTTTATAACTACTTCTAAAGAGCCAAAAGAATAAAAAATATTAATTTAGGAATGTAGTATTCTTATCACTGAGGATGTCGCTTTTTAAAATTGATGTTTTAAACTACTGTTTTGAAAGATTCTCCTTGCCCCACATAACTTTTGTAAAGCCATTTCCAACCCAAGTTTGTGTCTCTTTATTTGCCTTTTTATGAAATGTACTTTATCCAGTGTGTCTTTGCTAGAATCTTTTGGAAATATAAAAAACAAGTCTGTATTAATGTTAAATTCACCACTTTTAAGTAGAAATACACACAGCCAAAATTTTTAAATTTAATCCTTAAGTGCTGCTTCTACTATATTTGACACACATTTCTGTGGGGTTTACCCAGTTGTGTAATTTTTTAAAAGCTCAACTAGTGTTTGTTGCATTGAATAATTTAATTAAACTTTTGATTCTGAATAGTGAATTTCCATATTTAGTTCATAAAAGGAAGGTAGGAGTCAGTGTATAAAGTCTTAATTTAGATATTTTTATTTATAGGTAATACAAAAAGAAACTTCACCAGAGTGTGGATACCACCCTATAAATTGTTCAAATAAATCATAGGTATATTTTACTTTGGTTTCTGAAGCCTCAGTTAAGTATCCAGAAAACTTTCCTAGATACCTGTAAACATTTTCTCTTGTTTTTCAGGAAACATTCCCTTAGCATATATTTACTAGTCTTTTTATTAAAGATATGTGCCTGTGTCCAAGGTGCTGGGAGTCTATTTTGAACAATATAGTATCATCTGTTCTATTGTTTTTTGTTTTGTTTCATTTTCTGCTTTAAGAAAATGAGATTTCAAAATTTTGGAAATGGCATTTGAGTGGCTAAAAACATACTAATGAAATGAATCTGTCTGGGGGTAGAAAGATAATATATACTTCAGAACAGTAAGACACTAATAATTCACCTTATAAACAATGGTGGTATCTTTCCTTGTAACATTAGAGAAGTTTAAATCATTTGCAACCTTTAAGCATTTTATATGCATTTAGACATTTTATAAATAAAAGTTACTCCACTGGTAGAAAAATATAACTTAAAAAGAATTAAAAGTTTCATCTAGAGATGGTGGTTACTTTATTAGAAAACAAATGCTTTTGCGGGGGGGGGGGGTTATGTGCCTCTATTCTGTGAAATTTTTCTGGCCACCTTACCACTTTGTGTATGTGTGTATGCACACATGCACTAAGGATTGAACCTAGGGTTGCTTAACCCTGAACACCCCCAGCCTTTTTTATTTTGAAACAAGCTCTTACTAAGTTGCTTAGGGCCTTGCTGAGTTGCTGAGGCAAGCTTTGAATTTGACATCCTCTTGCCTCAGCCTCCTGGGTAGCTGGGATTCCAGGCATGCACCACTGAGCCAAGCACAACTTAATTTTTAGCAAATAAGAAAAGGAAATGAAAAAATAAATTCACATTCTTGTAAAATTCCCATCTTTGGAAGACTGCTTATAAAAATAATCCATTTAGTCATGTATTTTTCTACAAATTAATACAAAATTAATTTTTTTTAACCAGAAATGCCCCTTTGGCGCCTTATCAATTGTCAACTTACCAAGCAACTTGGAAAAAGAAACAACACATCGATATTGTGCCAATGCTTTCAAACTTCACAGGTATATTTCATGTTAGCATTCTTCTTTAACTCAGTCAATTTAAGAATAAAATAACATTTAGAATTTTCAGAGAAATAACAAAATTAGGGGGAAAACTGATATTGACCATCCATCAAAGGGGAAGAGAATATTATAGCATTGTACAAAATTGTATTTTGTATATATGTAGATACATGTGTGTATATGTATGTCAATGGTTCATTCTGGTTAATATTAGAATTAAATCCTGGGACTTTGAAACAACTGCTAATGCCCAGGTTTCCACCTAGTCAAACTACATTATTATCTATTGATGTAGGGACTGACGAAGTCCTAGGTAATTCTGATATACAACCAGGTTGAGAATGACTGTTGTTCATGATAACTTTATCCCCAAAATAACTTCTAAGGGAACTTGCCCTTAGTTTTATTTTTAATCTATTAATCTATCTACAGAGGAAATCACTCTGAACTTAGACATATTAAATTACAAGGTCTATGGTTCTTTGAGGTTTCTGTCTGCTGAACATTAATATTTTGAATCTAGAAATCTAGGCTTTATTAATAAAAAGATATTTCTCAACCTGCCAGCTTTAAGGGGCCAACTGCAGCAGGGAGAATGAAGTGGAATTTTTCTGGTTGATGTGGCACTTCTCTCCTTGTAAGTAATTGGCAGGCCAGAAGAAAATAAAAATGATAGTGTGAGGTTGCACCTGCTATGTAATTTTGTACTGAAGCATTTTGCTATACATTAAAACTGAGCCTTATATGTAAAGAAGAAATTTACTTTAGAATGGACATTGAATAAGAAAAATTCAGAGTAATATTGGTCACAGATGCATTTCTAACAATTAACAGTTTAAATTAATCTTTGCTGTTTTATTCCTAATAACCAATAATATCTGCATAGATATATATTTCTTAGCTTACTAATGGATGTGTGTGGAGTGCAAGTGCATTAAAATACATTGTTGTGATATAAATAGCTGTTGCTACCTAAGTCTGAAGGTTATTCTTTTTTTTTTTTTTTTTTTTTTTTAATATTACATCAGGTTGCCTATTCCTCGCCCAGGTGAAGTTTTGGGATTAGTTGGAACTAATGGTATTGGAAAGTCGACTGCTTTAAAAATTTTAGCAGGAAAGCAAAAGCCAAACCTTGGAAAGTATGATGTAGGTATTTTATAAAAATTACTATCTTTGGATGTCTTTTAAGATTTTGAAGGGAGAAATTTATGTGTGATTTTTTTTTTCCATGTTGTTTTTAAGATTTTTTTTTTTGTAGATTTAATGCTGAGAAACTGTGTGRATGAAGTTTTTTCATTCCTTTTGAATTAAAACCTGATAGTTCTACTTAACTGAGAGTTCTCAGTTTCCTCAACTGAGAGTTCCTAAAATGTTGTGAGTTGGTATGCCTTGATTTAAAATTAAATCTACCTCCAAATTTAAAGTTAAGAGTCCTGAAGTATTCAATTTCAGTATATGTTCAATTTTGTATAACATTCATCTTCTTTGAAATTGCATTGTTAACTTAAATTTGATATGTATATTTCTAGGATCCTCCTGACTGGCAGGAGATACTGACATATTTCCGGGGATCTGAATTACAAAATTACTTTACCAAAATTCTAGAAGATGACCTAAAGGCCATTATCAAACCTCAGTATGTAGACCAGATTCCCAAGGCTGCAAAGGTCAGTTGCTTTTTAGGAAGAATTTATATATTATAGTTATTTAGGAGATACAAAAGCTACATCAAAGTAAACTCATTTTATTTTGTAACTCATTTTAATATTGAAGGAAAATAATGGTAACTATTTCTGGTATCTTATGACAGGGGACAGTCGGGTCTATTTTGGACCGAAAGGATGAAACAAAGACACAGGCAATTGTATGTCAACAACTCGGTAAGAGTTTATTTTGTTAATGTGTTTTTAAAGACCCTGAACTTAAATTCATAAAGGTGTACATCTTTATATTGATTATTGGAATAAATGGGAAAATCTTTAGTAATTGTCATACATATTGTTTTATAATTTTCAACTGAAATGTCATACAAACTCAGAGTCATAACATGCAATATACATTTTGTCCAGAGAGATAAAATGAAATTGATAAATTGAACACAATGCCTCCATGTTCTTTGTAGATTTAACCCACCTAAAAGAACGAAATGTTGAAGATCTTTCAGGAGGAGAGTTGCAGAGATTTGCTTGTGCTGTCGTTTGCATACAGAAAGCTGATATGTAGGTTTCTTTACAATTTTTATAAATATCTTAATCCTTATTTTTGCTCTAATTTGTAATACTGCTAATACAGCAGTGGTTTTGAGAGGAATTAATGGCATCTAAAGCTATACTTCTGAAGTAAGATGTTGAAGCAGTTATGCATCYACTACCAATTTTCCCTGTTATTCCCTGATAAGTAGTTTATGATTTATACATTCCAAGTTTTAAGACTTAAGTTATCCAACCAGCCCAACAAGCTTTTTTAAATACCTCAAGTAAAAAAAAGGTCTTTTTAGACCACTGTAATATGTCAGGGTGGCATGCTAAATGAGGGAGAAAAAGAGAGTGAAAAAGGCAAATTTCCTTCTTAGCTTCTAGTGCCGCTCTTCTCCCAGCTGTTTACTGATCCCATCTTTTTCATGTTTTCACTCTGTTATCTAATACAGGCTGGCTCTTCTCCACAAAGTATTCTGTGAATTCTGTGCAGTGTCCTCCAAAAAACTATTGGCTTTAATGCATTTATACTTCAGCTAAGTAAGAGAAAAGCTCTCCAAACTATTACAGGCCATATATCGGGATATTTTTTTCTTGAGGGTAGAACCAGTTTATAAGTTGGTCTAATCTAGGAGACTKTCCCCAAATGTGGTATACAGTCCTGCTTTTCATAATTGATTTTTTTCTTCTGTTTCTGATAAGAATACAGTAATTTTTACTATTATAGGTACATGCTCTTTATTGGTATGAATGAGATTTTGCTTGTAGTTACATTAGAAGCCATTAGTACTGCTTTAAAATAACATGCAAGGTGGATTGATGTCATGTTTGTCTTTTGAAATTATTTCCTTTTTTTCCCCCCTATAGTTTCATGTTTGATGAGCCTTCTAGTTACCTAGATGTCAAGCAGCGTTTAAAGGCTGCTATTACTATCCGATCTTTAATAAATCCAGATAGGTAAGTATAGGTCTGGAATATTCCTCTGTTGTTTTATTTGGGGAGTTTAACAAGATTTCTAAAAATTAACTGCATTATCCATCTACATGTATAGATTCTTAATCTTGGTTATTTAGAGCTACCACTAAAATTTACTTTTCTCTATCTAGAACAAAAGTTCTTAGAGCAAGATTCATATATTCATGTATCTCTGTTTCTAGGAAACCTATGAATTCTCTGAAATTAAATGCAATTTTTCACATAAATATATTCCATTTTAGGAAGTAGATCTTTAGCTTTTGCTAGATTCTCAAATAGAAGTCTCTCATACACTAATATAAGATGTAAGAATCACTAGAGTAATTCTGAATATCAGTGTTTAAAATCTTGCTGAGCAAAAAAGAGTTCTTAATCACCTGTTAAGTAATCATACCCTCATGTATTTATAAGGTGCTTTGTTAGTTTTCAAAGTTTTTAAAGCCATTATTTCATTTGCCTATGGTATTATTATGGTAAGATTATTTAGGTACTTCTCATTTTTCAGTTGAAGGAGTTTAAGATCAGAAAAGCTAGTTATGTGTCCTAGATTACTGATTTAGTGTGTGAGAAAGCTGAAATCAAAACACGGGGTAGGGGGAGTGTTTGTTTTCTGTATGGCATTTTTTTATACCATGATACCTCTCTCCTTAATAACTTTTAATAAATGTCCTTTGAAATACATGGTTTATCTTACAAGGAAAAATAAAAAGAATTTTGAGAATTACAAAGTGGAGAGATGAGGGGATGGCTTTCCAGATGTTGCTGACATCCCTAATAGGCCTTAGGTTTTAATATCCACTGTGGAAAAGAAGCAACACCTTGCATTGGATCATTACACATAATATGTCAGGACTCTGAAAGAACCCCTTAGCAAACAGGCAATTTGGAAACAAATTATAAGCACATGGAAATGTCAAGTAAACACATTGAAAATTTAGGGACAGCTCCCTTTCAAATCTCTGTTTATGAGCCAGTGGTTTACATGGCTATGGAATTCAATGTGTGTGTAACCAGTAGTATCTATAAACCCTTTAGGGTGAGAAAGTAATATTTWAAAAAGGCTCTTGGGATTTTTAGACCTGTAGTAGTGAATAAAAAACTGCTCTGGAGGGATATGCCCTCAAATCTGATTGCACATCATTTTTACATGTAAAGACTATCAAGCATGAGCTCAGATCTAGGGTTATAAATTACAAGACAAAACTATTTACAAATACAGTTAGAAAATATAATGATAGAAATGCTGAAGTAATTATTAAATAATGTAAAATATTTAAAAGGATCAAAAACCCTGCGAACATGATGCTATAAAAAAGCAATAAGTGTTCAAAATCCTAAGCAAATTTAGAAGTTAAAAGTTAGTGCCATTAAAAATTCCCTAAACACCCAGGCACAGTGATGCACAACCTTGTAATCCCAACAGATGGGGAGGCTGAGACAGGAGGATMACAGTTCAAAGTCAGCCTCAGCAACTTAGTGAGACCCTCTCTCAAAACATAAAAAAGGCTTGGGATGTGGCTCGATGGTTAAGCACCCCTGGGTTCAATCCCCAGTACCAAAAAAAAAAAAAAAAAAAAAAAAAACCCTAGACAGGTAAATTAGGGCTAGTAGAAAAGAGCATTAGAAACCTTAAAAGTTGAGTTTTTGTGGCATACTACAGAGAGAAAGAAATTGAAATATGGAAGGGAGGTTTAGAAACATGGAGAATGAAATAAGAGTAATTGCTGTATCTTAAGAATCTGAAAAATAGAAAAATACATAAAAATAAAATGGATTCTGAAAGATAAAGGCATGAAGGGATCATGGCTGATAATTTTTCAGAATTAATAAAAATCTCAGGTTCCTAAATTTAAAGAAAAGTCCTATAGAAGATAAATAATTCACCTAGATACATGAGTGAAATTATGAATATCCATGATAAAAAGTAAAAAGTCTTACTTGGCCAGATATAAAATAACTTCTTAACTAGTATATAAAGGATAACTTAAGCTGGATACAGTACCACATGCTTGTTATCCTAGAGACTCAGTAGATTGAGGTAGAAGGATCAAAAGTTAGAGGCCAGTCACCTCAACTTAGCAACCTTGTATCAAAAAATAGAAAGGGTTGGGGGTATGTTGAAGACCAGCTCCAACAGGGGGTCTCAGGAGACAAACGGATGGTGAGGAGTCAGCGAAAGAGGGGGTAGAGAAACAACACAGACACCAAAGTGAAGGTGTTGATCCCAATCTTTACTTGTGAAGTTGATCATATATACTTTTCATTTTGGCAGGCTCACAGTACTTTGTGGTTACAAAACAGGAATCATTATTCAAAGAAACAAAATATTACATAGCTACAATTAGAATAGAAGAATGTATCTTGGCTTATGCATAAGCAAGCATTTGTACTTTCAGTTCGAGTTTTGCTTTGAGCTGTTTCTGCTTAGTTAACTTTTAATAATAATTACAAATGTCCCAAACTATTGGCCTATACCTTGACTATTCTTTCTTGACTTACTGACCGGAACCGGTGCCATGGTTATGGCAAGTGGTTGACTTGTTATTATTTTTAATCAAACAAAAGTAAGAGCACAAACCATTGTGCACAGGAACAAGAACAAGTTGCCCAGTACTAAGCCACTAATCTATCTTCTTAACATTAATTTTTCTTCTCTAGATTTTAATTTCTCAAAAACTTCCTTGACAGGAATACAGGGAGTTTTTCATTAGACATTAACAATTTACACTCCACAGCTGAATCATTGCATTTAGAGCAAACAGATCTATGCTTTAGAAGTAGTTGCATTAATTGGGAAAGTCATGWTTTTTCCTTCATACTYAATGGTCATATGAGAAATYVMAACTATACTTMTTAAAGGAATACAAAAACAAATCAGCCCATTCCCAGAAACATACTGCACTCCTCCAGAGGATGGACGCCTTGCGCCATCCACCTCAGTAGGGCCTTGCCATTGCCTGAGTCAGGGGAAGGACTCAGCAGGGGTATACCTCAGKGGTAGAGGCCCCTGGGTAAGACATGAGGTGATTAAACTCATTTGTAAGGAATAAATTTAACATTAAAAGATTAAGAGCTATTCTGTATAGGAAAAATAGATGAAGTAAATAATAGGTATGGATGGACCTCAGGGAAAAAATTAGTAAGGAAAGTAATAATATGTAAAATATTTTTTCAATGAGGGACAGAGCAGTAACCTTTAATTATAATAGGAATAATATGTTAAGAAAAATTAGACTAACAAAGTGGAAAAACTTGATTGAGACATTTTCACAAATATACTGATCTCATTTATAGAGTTAAAATAATCTATATGTAGTGATAGTTAATGAGCCATAAGATGCGTATTTTTATACTGAAATTCTCCTGCATGTCATAACATATATTTAGTCTTGAATGCTATAGAAAGATTTTGGAGATCATATCCTTCGAAAAATAGCAAGGAATAAAGAAAGGATGGATTGCAGAAAAAACAGTGGCAGACTGAAGTCGTATTTTGGACTTTTGTCTGCATAAGCTCCATTTGAAAGAGGGGGAGGCAGGAGGTTTGACAAATATATATTCAGATACTTATAATAGGACCTCAGGAGTGGAGAAAACAGTTCATCTATTAGGAAGAGTTTCCCTACAGTGGGTAGGAATTGAGATGGAACTTAAAGGATCAAGTAGAATTTCAGCAGGTGGAAGATTTTGGCAGGAGACTAAGGAAAAAAACAGCCTTTTGACACACAAAATGAAGAAATGAATTATTCAGCAAAAAAGAACTACGTTTCAGTTTTTTCTATATATAAATGAAGTAAAGAAAGCTAAAGTTTTGGAGGATCTTGAAAGAGTTTAAGGAAATTTCATTTCATGTGGAATTGAGAGCCACATCAGGGGATCTGAAGAAAGTGAGATTTGTTGAAAATACAGTAATAGCGAAAGAAATGTAATGGGAGCCTAAACTAGAATTTAAGAAGAGAAGGAARAGAACAAAATTATTACACAGCACTTTGGAAAAGAATTCACAGACTTCACACTTTATACAGTGTTTTAATAGGAATAAACAGTTATTTTTCTGTTGTTGGGAGGATAATGATTTCATTAGCCCATTTTGTCCCATAATACAAGAGGTGAAATACCTGTAAAAATTAAATTCAACAACAAATATATCACTTGTGGTAACATTGAAATAATATTTGAATATTTATTATGTTTGCAGAATTGAAAACTTGAGACTTGTTGGGTTAATACAAAAATGGAGAATTTTTTTTTGCAGGTTGATGCATTAAGTTGGCATTTGAGATGTCTTCAGAACATTTTTAAACATCTTGAACTGTCTTGGAATAGGAATACATAAAAGCAAACTATTTTTTACCTAATAGCAATGTTTTTTTATCACCTCAGTCAAATCTTAGTTTCATGTCATTATCATATCTCATTCATAAAGTCCCTTAATATACAGGAAACTATTTCCTTTCTGACCTTCATTGGGATTTATTATTTGTCCAGCATATCTTTTTTTATTGTTGTTATTGTTTCATATCCATTTTTTTAATCCATTCTTGTCTTCATAAAAATTCAAAGTTTTGGGGCTAAGGGGTTTGTTCTATCTTTCTCTCTGTATCTTCTGCTACAGCTAGCATGAGGCAGAACAGTTAATCATAGGGCTTAATACTTAAATTGAATAGCATAATATTCAAATAACTTAGACTGCATCTGTATCATTGTAATTGCTTTTACTTTGTAGAGTTTATTAGTATGTGTTTCTTATTACCAAAATATATTTATTTCATTATATCTGTGAACTTTTCATATTGTTTTCCTTTTAATTTAGGGAAACATTTTTAAATATAGACATTGATAGCCTATGTAAGAAATATTTTATGGCTTTGCTTCATATATTCTTTACATTTAAGTAGTTTAAAATATATCTGGTTTTCTACAATTTGCTGCTATAGTAAAAAGAAATAGTTATCTAATTATGTGTTATGTTAAATTTTAAAATAAAAGTCTGTTTTGATTTTCAGATATATCATTGTGGTGGAGCATGACCTAAGTGTATTAGACTATCTCTCTGACTTCATCTGCTGTTTATATGGTGTACCAAGTGCTTATGGTGTTGTCACTATGCCTTTTAGTGTAAGAGAAGGTAACTTGAAAAAAATGTTTTCACATATGCTGTATTCCTTTCCACTCTGATGCTTAGAAAATGTATTGTTGATATTGACTAGTTTTTTTATTGCTTTACTATTTATGCAAAACTGATCTCTTGGAATTTAATCACTGAGGAGAACAGTGTATGTAAAAGATTATATACATCAATGTTATAGAAAAAGTATTTCTTTTATAGAGAATTTTCTGTTGGGAGTGGATAAAAATGCAATTTTACTATTTTTGCTCTATTAAAAGTCTTAACTACATTTTTATTTCTGCAATATTTGTCATCTTAATTTGTTTTTGATGGGCCAATCCCAAAAATAAAACTCTTAAAATCCATTCRTTGTTCATCATATTCTAACTGTAATCTATGTCATGAGTTTATGGAACTAAGACTATCTAAAACTAATAAGGTAGTTTAATAAGCATATTTTCACTTATTCCCTGAACATTCATGAAAGAGGGATTCTCTTGACTGTCTTCCAATGTCTCCTCATGTGCAAACTAAACAATAGAAACTGTTGACCACTAAAAGACTCCTGAAAGCAGCAATGCATTCTCCAGCTTGCATACCTTTTCCTTTTGATTTTTTTCTCTTTCCACTGCTTACTTATAGTACTCTATATTTCTTCTCTTTGTCTAAAAAAGAACTACTTAGTCTGTATCTTAGGGTTAAGAAGTGTAGTAGATGTTTTTTCTTTTATCTCTTCAGAAGGATTGAAATATCTAAAAAACTCTTTTTGGAAAAATAAATTTATATCATATCATATCCTTTTTTAAGAAAGATGGTGGCGAGGCTGGGGTTGTAGCTCAGTGGTAGAGTGCTTACCTTGCATGCTGAGGCACTGGGTTTGATCCTCAGTACCACATAAAATAAATAAAGATATTGTATCCATCTACAACTAAAAACAAACTTTAAAAAAAAAAAAGATGGTGGTGGCTTTTGTAATTTTTAAGAAACATGCCAGGCATGGTAGTGCATGCCTGTAATCCCAGCAACTCAGGAGGCTGAGACAGGAGTATTACAGATTCAAGGCCAGCCTCAGAAACTTAGACTCTCTCCTAAAATAAAAGAACTGGGGATGTAACTTAGTGCCACTGGGTTCAATCCCCAGTACAAAAAAAAAAAAATTAGGATGTAGGGAAGGAGTAGTTCATGCCAGCACATGCCTGTAATCACAGATACACAAGAGAAGCTGAGGCAGAAGGATTGCAAATTCAAAGGCAGCCTGGGCAACTTAGCGAGACCCTGTCTCAGAATAAAAGGGTATGGGATATAGTTTATTGGTACAGTACCCTGGGTTCAGTTCTCAGTACAGGGACAGAGGGGGAGATGTGGGGAAGGAATTTATAACTTACCTACTAAGATAAATATTTTAAGGAAAAATTTGTGAGGTTGCCCAGTTTTCTTAACAGTAGCTTTAGGGGTATTATCAGAACCAATTGTTGATATTTTATTCTCTATAATTAACATGAGTACTTCACACCATATAATAATTCTAGAATCAGGTTTATGACGATATGAATAAATATTGAAAACACTATATGTACTATGAAGATAAATATAGTTTGAATTAGTTTAAACTGACAAGACATATATTAGGAATGTAAAGCCTGACTTTAACTTTTTTGAGCAAAGTCACTTATTTCTTTTAGCCTTTGTTTCCTTAATTGATGGATTAGATTAGATTGAATTAAGTGGCTTATTTAGTTGTTTTTTTTTTCAGTTGGTATTTCTTTGTCATTTTTGGTTTTAATTTCTTTATATGTCTAATTTTTAAATGAGGTTGAAAAACATGCTGATTTTGGCAAAATAAATGTATCTGTTCATTTGTTCTAGCAGCAAAGTTTATTTTACACTGTGTTATAGGCTGAGGATCCAGGCCCCCTGATGTGGCTCTCAATTCCAGATGAAATTAATAACATCCTTGTACTGCATTTCAAGACCTTACAAAACTTTAGCTGCTATCTTTCTCTTATTTTACTTCAATATTAGAAACATTGAAAAAAAAAAAGATCTTACATTATTTCCCAAATAATTCACTTTTTCCTTTCTGTGTGTCTGTCATTGTGGATCTTATAGTTTTAGTAGAGAGGAAGTCTCATGTACAATGTTAGTTTACTTTCATTTATTAATATCTGTTTAGGTAGCTATATGTGGTGGCACACACCTGTAATCCCAGTGGCTAGGGAGGCTGCGGCAGGAGGATCGCAAATTTAAAGCCAGCCTTAGGAACTTAGTGAGGCCCTGTCTCAAATTAAAAAATTAAAAGAACTATGGGTGTGGCTCAGAGGTTAAGCATCCCTGGGTTTAATACCTGATATTTAAAAAAAAATAAAATCTCTTTAGGTAAGGGAGTTTATCTTTGTAGAGTCAGAACAAATATTAAATGAAGTTAGCTCATTCACTTTTGTCATGAAATTACAAAATTAATCTTTTAAAAAATGCCGTAAACTATAGCTTCAAAATGTGTTATCATAGGAAATTGAAATTGAATACTCATAACTTAAATTGTTTATTAAAGAGTTATTTCTGAAGCTATTTTAGGCCAATCTGAACATATTTCATTCTTACCTACCTGTCATACATTTTTAGAGAAAAATTATAATTTGACTTTGATTTTAAAATACAGCATAAATGACATAGTATGCCATCTTTTGCATAAAACCTGGTGGCAAAAAAAAAATTTAAAATGATCTTGCATCTTAAATAATATAATGAAATAATGTGTTTGATGTGTGCACATGAGTGGGGAGGGTGTGCATAGGTACTTTTGAGTCACTTTATTATATGGTACCCTACATATTATCAGAAATCCACGGAAATTAAAATCTATATGGAGATTGCTCCCAAGAACTCTAGGATTTGAGGAAAGTTTAGTATTTAATTGGTCTTTTCTTCACAATAGGCATAAACATTTTTTTGGATGGCTATGTGCCAACAGAAAACTTGAGATTCCGAGATGCATCGCTTGTTTTTAAAGTGGCTGAGACAGCAAATGAAGAAGAAGTTAAAAAGATGTGTATGTATAAATATCCGGGTATGAAGAAAAAGATGGGAGAGTTTGAGCTAGCAATTGTAGCTGGAGAGTTCACAGATTCTGAAATCATGGTGATGCTGGGGGAAAATGGTAAGATTTCCTTTTTTTTTAATATAGAAGTTTGTTCTGCTTATCTAGTAAATCTGTTTTGCCTATTCCATGGAAAACTTTGACTCAATTTTTAGAATTGGCAGCTGAGTTTTTAATCCATAAATTTCTTGGTATAGCTTCACATTTTTGTGGCATTGTATAGTTTAATGTGTTATTCAAGCAAGTTAATATTTCCTATTTTGTATCACTACATCCTCAGAAAATACCTTTACTCAGTTTTTCTATGTATAAATTATTAAGGCATTTAATCAACTTGCAAAATGACTAGGAAGGAAAACATAAATTGGTAATTCAGAAACAATCTATTTAAGATTTTCCTTGTACAATTCTCTTTGGAATATATTTTCAATTCAGAGTACTCTGTCTACTTTTGTAAGTAGTTGTATGACTAACATTTTCAATATAAATTGTCACCATAAGTATAGTTGTGAGATTAATTTGACTACTCAATATCTGGTGTTTTTATGATTTAAAAATAAACATTGTCTTGTAATCTACAGCTAACAAAATTAGAAACAAAATATGTAAGGATTATTGCAATATAATATTCTTACTCAGTATAGATTCGCAATTGGGTTGCAACTTAAATGCTTTATGTAAATAATTTCAAATAATGGTATCTATTATAAAATGCTRTATACTATTTTAATTGATCATTTAGCTAAATGAGTCTTTTTAAAAAACTATCCCAAGCTTTATGGACCTACCACTTATTAAAATGGTTATTATAAACTTGGACAAGTCTTTATTTCTCGTAATAAACTTGTACTCAATACAAGCCACAAAAGATTTAAGTATTTTTCTGTATAACCTTCAGGTTCGAAAATGTTAATGTATTATTTTTAAAACAAATTTCTCAGATAAAAACAAGTATGACATTGTGCTTTCAATAAGTGTAAAGCATCTTTCAGAACAATTTTTTGTATGTTACATTGCCAGGTACAGGTAAAACGACCTTTATCAGAATGCTTGCTGGAAGACTTAAACCTGATGAAGGAGGTACTGTTGTAAATATAATCTTTAGTCTGTTCCACATAGTTAAACTTTAAAATCTGGGTGATATTTCATGTGTTGTGTATTCATATTATTTTGCAGGAGAAGTGCCAGTTCTAAATGTCAGTTATAAGCCACAGAAAATCAGTCCCAAATCAACTGTGAGTTGTTTCATCTTTTGTTTGATTATCAAATAAAAGTGTGTGTGTGTGTTTGTGTGTGTGTGTGTGTGTGTGTGTGTGTACGCACACACACATTTTTATAGTTTGATCCTTGTATTAAGGGATTTGGGATATAGCTTAGTGATACGTGTGCCTAGCTCATGTGGAGTCCTGGATTCAATCCCTAACACCAAAAAAAAAGAAAATCTTTTACAGTATTAAAATTCTTCTCTAAGGTAGACACCACAAAAGTGGTAAAAGAATGTATTTTTACAGTCCTTGATTCATTTCARCTACTAGTGGAAAATATTTTTAAATCTGTGTGCAGGCGGGGTTGCACACCTGTAATCCCAGCAGCTTAGGAGGCTGAGGCAGGAGGATCACGAGTTCAAAGCCAGCCTCAGTAACTCAGCAGGTCCTAAGCAACTCAGTGAGACCCTGTCTCAAAATAAAATACAACAAAGGGCTAGGGATATGGCTCAGTGGTTGAGTGCCTCTGGGTTCAATCCCCAGTACCAAAAAAAAGAAAAAAAAATTAAATCTGCTTGTTATCTTTTTTCCTACACCTTTAAAAACTTAATGTAATTTGTGCATGATGATACTGTCAAGAAAGAGGAAAGGCCACTCAAAAAGTAGAAGAAAACATTTGAACTAATCTGTGATCTGTGGTTTTTTGTTTTTGATTTTTTGTTTTGTTTTGGTTTTTTGTGGTGCTGGGGATTGAACCGAGGGCCATGTGCTTGCAAGGCAAGCACTCTACCAACTGAGCTATATTCCCCAGCCTGCGAAGAATATATTTTTAAAACTCTAGAAACTCAATTGAAAAGTACCCTTTCCCAGGACTGGGGTTGTGGCTCAGTGGTAGACCACTTGCCTGATACGTGCAAGGTCCTTGTTCCAACTTCAGCACTACATAAAAGTAAATAAAATAAAGGTACTGTGTCCATCTACAACTAAAAAATAAATATTAAAAAGAAAAAAAAAGTGCCCTTTCCACAAAAGAGGTCAGTGTTTAAAAGAACAAATACAAGTGGCTAATAAACATGAAAAGATTTGGGCTGGGGTTGTGGCTCAGTGGTAGAACCCTTGCCTGACATGAGTGAGGCACTGTGTTTGAAATAAAAATAATTAATTAAAGATATTGTGATTATTTCATTATCAAAGAAAAGTGTGTGTGTGTGTGTGTGTGTGTGTGTGTGTGTGAGACAGGTGCTGCCAAGTTGCCTAACACCACATCAAAATAATTAAAGATATTGTGTCCATCTACAACTAAAAAATTTTTAAAAAAAGAAAAAAGGAAAGATGCTATTAGCATCTTCATCATAAGGAAAATGCTTATGAAAACCTTGGTGAAATACCACATTATATTCATTAAGATCACTAAAATCCACAATAGTAATAGTAATACTGCTGGATAGTAATAGCTATTAGAGAAGATGTGAACAAATTGGCACCTCATACATTGTTGGTGGGAGTGTAGAATAATGCATTCACTATGAAAAATAATCTAGCAGTTCCTCAGCAAAGTTATCAGGTTCAACTCCTAGATGTATATCCAAGCACTGGGTACCACATATGTTGGTACCCAAAACTTGTATACACATATGTGTAGCAACATTATTTAGAATAGCCAAAAATTAGAAATAATGCAGATGAATGGCTTATGAATGGATAAACACAGCATGGTATATCCATAAAATTCAAGGTTATTCCACCATAAAGAAATGAAATACTGGTAAATACTACATTGTGGATAAAACTTGGAAACCTTATATTAAAGTTCTTTGATTTCTTCAGGTATTGTGATGAACTTTTTAACTATTATATCTGCTTTCAGTACCTAATAGCCAATATTGTATCCATTTCAAACAATTTCATTTACAATAAGTGTTTCATTATTGATACTTTCCATAATCTTCTTAGACTGAGTCCTATCCTGAAATAGTAAACACAAGCATCTTATGATTCAACCCTAGAATATTAATGGTGCATTTTGTGTTATTTCTTAATGATTACTTTTGGATTCAGAATTATTCCCACTTGAAAATTACTTCTTCCCTGAAATCTCTGATTTAAAATTTTTAGATTATTATTGCCTTTTTATTTATTTGTTGTAATGACTATTAAATAAAAAATATCTGGGCCGGGGATGTGGCTCAAGCAGTAGTGCGCTCGCCTGGCACGCTCGGGGTGCTGGGTTCAATCCCCAACACCACATAAAAATAAAATAAAGATATTGTGTCCACCTAAAACTAAAGAGTAAATATTTTTTTAAAAATATAACAAAACATGCTATAAATGTTGGGTAATCATTAAAAATTCAATTGCTGTCTCCTAGTAGCCAAGCAATATAGATTTTCTCTGCAGTTTAACTTCCTAAGTAGAGGAGTTCTGTACTACCTGGTGTGATGGCACACACCTGTTATCCCAGCTACTCCTAGGAGGTTGAAGCAGGAGGATCCCATGTTTGAGGTCAGCCTGGGCAACTTGGCAGCACCTGTCACAAAATAAAATTGCAGAAGGGCTCAGAATATCGCTGCAGCTCTAAGGTAGAACACTTGCCTAGGATACTTAAGGCCCTGGGTTCAATCCCCAGTCCACAAAAAGAAAAACAAAGAATTCTATACTGATTTTTTATCACTTAAAAACTTTTTCCATTGAAAACAGGGAAGTGTTCGCCAGTTGTTACATGAAAAGATAAGAGATGCTTACACTCATCCGCAATTTGTGACTGATGTGATGAAGCCTCTGCAGATTGAAAACATCATTGATCAAGAGGTATGCTAACATAAGTATATTCATTAATTTTTTAATTTTATTTCAGATTTGGGATTTCTTTACATAGTTTCCTAAACTTCTTTTAGGTGCAGACATTATCTGGTGGTGAACTGCAGCGAGTGGCTTTAGCTCTTTGTTTGGGCAAACCTGCTGATGTCTATTTAATTGATGAACCATCTGCATATTTGGATTCTGAGCAGAGACTGATGGCAGCTCGTGTTGTCAAACGGTAAATGTCTTGCCACAGCGTATTACTTTTGATTATGTGTACTGGCATATAAGTGTGCTTAATATCACACTTGAATGTTTTGTGATATAAAGCTATAAAAGGCTTTCAAATTGTTGTATTTTAGTTTCATACTCCATGCAAAGAAGACAGCCTTTGTTGTGGAGCATGACTTTATCATGGCCACCTATCTAGCAGATCGAGTCATCGTTTTTGATGGGATTCCATCTAAGAACACAGTTGCAAACAGGTAAGATTAAAATAGTAAAAAACTGACTAAGTTCTAATAATTAGAAGATTACCAAAAATTCTGTGCTTTACTCTGACTCCCAAGGTGATTCTTATTGAACATTGGTAGGACCATGTAGAATAGTCCTAGACTGTAGTTGGAATCCCTGACCCTAGATATAAGCATATCTTATATCTGGGATTCTCACTTTTTTTTTTTCCAGCTGAACTTTTGCCTATTTTATTATTTGGATTTCCAAAACATGGTTTGGTTTTGTAAATAATTGCATGAAAATAAATTTCTGATTTTTTTTTTTTTTTTTTTTTTTTTTTTACATGACAGAAAAAGGAAAATGAGGACCCAAAGAGATTTCCTGATTTGCCTAACTTACTCTGGTAGTGATTGAACTAACAATAGATCCCAAATATCTGGTAGCAGAATTAAAAACGAAGGAGGTCACCTTTCCCTCTCACTTTTCCTGACTGACTTGATTGTGGGTGCTTGTTATATGGACTTAACATTCAGGTCATATAATGAGAAATTTCTGTTGCCGTTAATGCTAAAATCAGTTAGGTTGAACCATATAAATTGCCAGTATTCAAACATTTTTTGACCCATAAAACAACAAAGATTAAATAAACTGTGGTTCCAGATACATTTTCTAGGGTAAATGAAGTTGCTATTTGACTAATTCTTCCAGGAAATAAAAGTACTGAGCTTCTCAGAACTTTTTTGGGTGTGTGTGGTGTGCTGGGGATTGAACCCAGGGCCTTGTGCATGCTAGCCAAGCATTCTGTCAACTGAGCTATATCCCCAGCCAGAGAACTCTTTYCATTTTAAAATTTTTATTTCAGTTATTCAGAATTATACCTTTTTGAAGAGTTAGGGAAATTTCTCAGAATATATAAAACATTTATTCACATAATGGTCTTCCCTTTGTGTTTACAAAATGTTTAAAGTGTTCCATCGATTTTGTGATTTGATTGATTTAAGAACTAGCTTAGGTAGGCCAGGTGCATTGGTGAATGCCTATAATCCCAGCATTTTGGAGGCTGAGGCAAGAGGACCATGAGTTCAAAGCCAACCTCAGCAAAAGTGAGGTGCTAAGCAACTCAGTAAGACCCTGACTCTAAATAAAATACAAACTAGGGCTGGGGATGTGGCTCAGTGTTTGAGTGCCCCTGAGTTCAACCCCTAGTACCAAAAAATTAAAAAATACTAATAACTAGTTCAGATAAAAAATATGTATAAAGCATAAAAGGAATATTACTGAAAATCACAATGTGGAAGTACATATTTCCTTCATTGTCAAATTTCTAACAGAAATTAACTTTTTTTGATAAATTCTCTTCTCCTTTAAAAATGTCAATTTGAGATTCTGTAAGTCTCCTAATTTATTAGTGATCTTTTGTTTTTCTAAAGTCATACTTCTGGGCTGGGCATGGTGGCACTTGCCTGTAATTCCAGTGACTTGAGAAGCTGAGGCAGGAGGATTCCAAGTTCAAGGCAAGCCTGAGCAACTTGAGATCCTATCTCAAAATTTAAATAATAATAATAATACTTCCATTGCAGCTCAGAGGTAGAGCGCATACTTTATGCACAAGGCCCTACATATCTTCCCTAGCAAAAAATAAACTAAATAAATAAATAATTCTAAAATGTTTCTTTTTCCACATCAGAAATACAGGTACGATTGTGTTTGTCTTGCACAAAGTATTATTGCCAAGCAAACAGTATAGTCCAAGCAAAGCTGTTTGTGATTATATAAGATTTATAATATGTTTTAATTATACTGTTATCCAGATGATGTGTAATAGAACTCAAGGGAACAGTTATTCTTTTTATTCCTTAAGGTAATTAATCTTTAGGGGTTGAAAATTTAATCAAAAATATTTATCCCCTACCCCCACAGTCCTCAAACACTTCTGGCTGGCATGAACAAATTTTTGTCTCAGCTGGAAATTACATTCAGAAGAGATCCAAACAACTATAGACCACGAATAAATAAACTCAATTCAATTAAGGTATGTGGAAAAACTGTCTTAAGTCATAACTTTCTCAGTATGAACAGTGGAGAGGCTGTTGCTTTTATAAGTCAATATTTCATAGATTTCATACATTCTATGGTTCATGTGTTTTTCCATTTTAATACCTGATGGCATGTAGTCCTCTAAACAGCAGCTGTGATGCAGCTACTGTGCTGCATGGACGCAGCTCTTCCTACTGTTCAAGTTGTACTGTGTTAACTGCTAATTAAAATGTTTTAAGGAAGATTATACTACTTGACCATTGAAACAAAGAAATTTTCAAGAATATTTCAAGCAGCTTCTCTACATATTTTTATGTTGTTCAATTCATGACTAAAATGTATATTTTAAGTCTGAACAAGCTCTTAGAGTATAAAATTCTAAACAATGGAAAACCACTTTGTCAGATCAGTTGGTAATGTTTTTTCTTTGTAGAACATAAATTAGTTGTCCACCCTATGCTTGATTTAGTCTGTGAAATGCAGTATTTATTTTTTCAAAGGCAAGTTTCTTGGTCACACAAATTAAAAAGTGAAGGAACTATGAAAGCATTTCAACTGTTTTCATGTCCCCTGCAGTGCTCACTTCCATGTTTCTCTTTCATCACATCCGGTGCTAGTTTTCTCAGTTTTGAAAGGCATATTAGGCAGAAAAGGGGACAGGAATTTCTTCTGAATCATTATTTATACTTGGTATTGTCATTTGGGGTGGGGGGGTATGTTTATGGTTCAGACCCCGATGTACCTATTAATCATTTCTGTATTCACATTCATCTTAGTTGTAACTTAATAAGGGAGCAGATGGGTGAGTGGGTAAATGTTACTGTTCTACCAAACATTCTGGGGAAAGTTATTTCATTCATATGTATATATAGTGTCATTCAGTATGCTATCTTTGGGCCAGGAGCTTAAAGTTGAAAAGATAAAAATGGGATGGAATTCCATATATGTACTATATCTTACATGAAGGAACTTGGAGTTGATGGAAGTGAGGTATTTTGATAATAGGAATGGGGACAGAAGGTAGTAATCTTGCTTTTGAGTAGTGGACCCAGAAATATCCAAAAGCAGATGGAAGTTTATTCAGGTACTTGTTTTACTAATACCTTGTATGAAATCCTAAATGTAAAGGAGCGGTGATGTTGACTTTTGCTTTTCTTTTTAGGATGTAGAGCAAAAGAAGAGTGGAAACTACTTTTTCTTGGATGATTAGACTGAATCTGAGAATATTAATAAGCCATTTATTAAAAGAAACATTTACTGGGATTTTTGTCATATATGACTAATCAGGTTTTATGGCCCCACATACTCTGGAGCTTGAAGAATGATTTTTTTTAATGTAACATCCAAAGCCAGGTATATTGTAAATTGTAGTCTAAGCACAAAAAATGGAACTTTTCTGTTCTGAAATGATAAGGCCCTTTTTGTGCTTAATATTCTAAAGTGAAGACATTTCAAACTACAAATTACCTCCAAGTTTTCATGATAAATGGAACATTTTCAGTAGGTGTATTATATTCGTGTACCAAATACTGACCAGTGTTGCCCCATTTTAAAAATCTTGACAACATTTCTGTACTTATCTGGTTTGCCAAGTATGCCAGTATAATGAAACTGCCCTATTTTAAAAGCCAGTCGAAGACTACACTGATGATATTTGATAAATAAACTTCAGGACTATATTTGTTATTTGTTTTCAGTCTTTGCACTGAATGTTCAGTGTGTGATTCCTAAGGAAGATTGCTGCAGAACATCACTGTCAGAAAATGGGTATTTGTTACCAACCTGCGCATTGTTTTAATGTTTTTTGGTGCTTTTGAACATCATTATCCAAAAATCACTTCACTGTCCCCTCAAAGGAAAAAAAAAAAAAAAAAACTGGGTTTTTCAGTTTTTGCATTCTGTAAGATTCTATAATTACTTTGTTATTTTTTAAACATGCATTTATATAATCACTGATCAAAATTTAGGGCAAAATATTTCTAAAGAATATTTGCTTCCCTTATAACTACAGTCTCAGAATTTTTAAGAGTTGGTGCCTGAGAATCTATGTATTTTTAAAACTACAGATTTTTCTGCTGAGCAGTCAAGGATTAGGGAAGTCAACCACTTCCCCAATGGCAGCATCAATGCAAGAGATAGCAATACAAAGCATCCCTTGGTACCAAACATATTCATTTCTAAGTTGGGACATAATAAACTTATCATCAAAACCTTGCTAATACACTGAACTGGAATTAACTTATATGTAAGGAAGAAGGATTACTATAAATTATTGGGGCAAGCAAAACAGAAAAATTGGAGATTATTTGACAAGACTTTTTATAGCTCATTAACTAATAGAAGCTTTGATTAACATAATGAATAAGTTTGGTTTAATTGGACCCTGTTAGGCCTTCTGAAAATAAATTTTATGTAATGCATAAATACATGTTTATTGTGGAAATTTGAACTATTCAGAAGTATACTTATGGAATAAAAAATGATCTCCCTACATTATGCTCCCAGGGGTTACCAATGTTTGAGTTTATTCTTTCATGCTTTTTTCTATGCACTTTGCTAAGTGAGAATATATAAAAGGTTTGTCTTGTACATAAATGGGATTACACTAAAGTTAGTAGTTCTGGTTTTTAAGGGTTAAATGTATGATTATTTCAAATATATTGAGTAAAATAAGACAAGCTTTTATTTCTAAAAATACTTGGGATGGATGTATTACTGATTAAAATGTGTATTAATTATAAGGTATTTTATGCAAATGAAATTTGAAGACATAGATTTAAATGTTATATGTTGTTGAAAGCCCTAACTTTGCTGACATCAGAGTTTGTCACCATCAATGCAAATATTATCAGGTGTAGTGGTCACACCTGTAATTCCAGCCAGCTGGGAAGGCTGAGATAGGACCATTCCAAGTTCAAAGCCAGCCTTGGCAACTTGGCAAGAGTATAGTCTCAAAAAGGGCTGAGATGTACCCTGAATTCAATCCCTAGTACCACCAAAGAAAAAGAAACTGTTAATATGTCCTGCTACAGTTGTTTTCTTCAGTTTAACCTGATTTTAGAACATAAACATGTTGAAGTCCAGTCTTGTCTCACTTATCACTCAGTGTATAGTATGGTATGTGGGRCTGGCATATTGAAGGAATGAGCATATATGCCAGAGAGAAAACTGCTCAATTGTGCGTGGCACACACCTGTGATCCCAGCTACTGTGAAGACTGAAGTGGGAGAATCACCAAGTTCAAGGCCAGCCTGGACAACTTGGTGAAACCTTATCTCAAAAAGGACTCAGGGTGTAGTTAATTGGTAAAGTGCCCCTGAATTCAATTCCCATACAAAAAAAAAAAAAAAACTTCAATTCGTGATTTCATTGTGTTTCTCAACACAAGTGTATGTCAACCCCTTAGTGCCTGTCATATCTAAGTATGAAATGGTTCAAAATCACTCTGAGAATCAGGAAGGACTGCATGAAGGAAATAGCTCTGGGGAGTGTAATACCACCTGTCCCATATGAGAGGCAGAGAGGTTGTTAGAACTTATCCATGTAAAACAGGATACGCATATGACAAGTGAGAGGCAGAAAGGAGCATTCTGAGATGCGTAGGCCAGGCACACCTGCAGTTCAGGAGGCTGAAGCCAGAGGATCAGGCACTAAGCAACTGAGAACGGACCCTATCTAAATAAAATACAAAATAGGGCTGGGGATGTGGCTCAGTGGTCAAGTCCCTGAGTTCAATCCCCAGTACCAAAAAAAAAAAAAAAAAAAGATTGAGTAGAAGGATATATAGGTACATAGTAATGGGCTTTCTCTGCCTGTTTGAGGTTGAAATGCATAGCCAGTTAGATAAGCAGCTAGAATTATCAAAATAACAGGTTTCTCAGGAGCACTCATTTTTATTCGTTTGTCTTAATATTTTGAAACATTCCATCCATTGATGGCAGGATTAAACTTGCTATTTTTGTCTACTATTATACTAATGAGTTGTTTCCTTGTGGTTAACCAATGTACAGTGAGACAAAAATTTTGACACCTAGTGTGGCAAATAGTAATTCCCTGTGCTCACCACCATCTACCTCCATGCCAGGTTAGGATACACAGTGTCTGTAAACCCAGGTGATGAGTCAGAATAACCTAAGAATCCTACAAATCCTTTTTCATAGTTTCTTAGTTCTCTTGCAGTTAAGTAGGTCACATGACCCACATCTGACCAATTAAGTTGAAAGCCATGCTTTCCTAGAATATATGTAGTTACTGATTCTTGTGGGTGTGACACAGAGCAAGAACTTGTGGCCACAAGGTTAAGAGATGTAAGGAGGAGCTGGGGTTGTAGCACGCTTGATTAGCATGTGTGAGGCACTAGGCTTTATCTAAATCACTAAAACATGTAGAAATAAAAAATAAAGGTATTGTGTCCATCTACAACTTAAAAAAAATGTAAGGTATGTGTGAAGAATGCTCATCCTTACACTTCACAACTGCCTGCAAGTCACTTTCCTCCATATTTCTTATGAAGAAAACAAGTCCTTATTTGTCAAGCTGTTTTTCTATTGCTGGCCACCAAGTTACCTTGGCTTCTTGGGCAAGGTCTGCCCCTCCAAGGGCTTTCCATTTGCTTTCTGCCAAGTAACCTAAGTAGGAACTTGTTTTCACTTTTCTTAATTTGCAAATTCTTGGGCCTTCCCAGCTAGTCTTTGGGGTTTTATTGTTTCCAATACTTGAGATTGAACCTAGGCCTTGTTCATGCTAGTAGGGAAGTGCTCTACCGGCTTTTTGTTTTTTGAGATAGGGTCTCATTAACTTGCACTTGCCTCAGACTCTTGAGTGGATGGAATTATAAGCATGTGCTCTTGCATTAGGCTGGGTGGGTATTTTTGCTTTTGTTTATAAGATCTGGAACTTAGACCAATGGTCTTGTTTATAGAAAAAGTTTGCTATTACTGACCTTTCCAGAGGTCACAACTGTGTTAGTATCAGCTCCCAACCTTGCATGTACCTAAGTCTACATCTCCCGTATCTACACAATTCTTGGCTAAGGAAACAGACCAGCTGTCCAGGTCCATTCCTTCTCACGGCGCACAGGCTTAGTAAACAGACTGTTTCTGCTTTCTTTCCCCATTTATAAAAACACCTTTTTTACAATCCTATAAGAGCCAAGCCAATGGTGCATGCCTGTAACTTCAGCTGCTGTGGAGGTTGAGGCAGAAGGATCACAGATTCAAGGCCAGCCTGGGCAACTTTGCCAAGAAAGAAAAAAAAATCCAAAGGCTGGAGGATGTACCTTAGTGGCAAGGTGCCCTTGGGATTAACTACAAAGTTAATTAAATGCTTTTACTAACACCCAATTTACAAAGTAAATGGCAGAAAACGTGTAACAAGTAACACATCAGGTAAATCCCTAGTGGGTTTTTTTTTTTTTTTTAAAAAAAAAGCTCATTTTCTACTCATCTTTAAAAGGTGGTCAGTCCAAAGGTAAGTTTCTCAATTATCTGCCACTTAATATTAAAAGGAAAAAAAAAAAGCTTAAAAAAAAAACCTCTCACACTCTTCATCTTGGGCCTTTACTCTCATTTTTGTTTTTTCCCAAATCCAAATGAAAAACAAAATGTAATTAGAAGACCAGTATGTATTTTTTAAAGGGTTGACTGAAGCCTGTTTCTCTAGTAAACTCATTAAAGGATCCATCTAAAAAGCTTCAATATGAGGTCTATAGCTCCTCTTGAAACACTGATCCAAAGTAATTAACAATTCTGAGGCACCCAGGATTCACAAGATGCATAGCTTTGTATAGGAAAGTTGGGCATAGTGACTTCCTCTTTTGTTTCCATTCTCACACTTTTCCCTAGTTCTGGACCCAAGTACTTCAATGTTATATAGAAAAGCCTAATTATTCTAGGTGAAGGATAGGCCTTCTAATTATAGAAAACTACAGAGAAACCCCATCTTGCACCTCTTGAGGACAAATTACTTCCCTTGACATCACCTTTTATCCCACCCAGCTGGACATCTTGTTCTCATCTCTGGCTTCTGTTGACCATAGGCAAACCTGCTAGCCAACTAATAGATAAATGTTTCCCCATTACTCCTTCCCCAACAATGTTATATTTTACGAAACTTCTCAAGCAAGCTGTCCAACTTGTAAGTAGTGCTGGGGTTGGAACCCACAGGGCTTAGGCAACCGCTCTTGCCCTGAACTACATCCCTTGCCCCAGCTGTGATTTTTCTTTACACTGGCTCATTCTCTCCCTTGCTGTTCCTGTGCCCATGTGTATCAGGTTCTCTTTTAAATACATGCGCTGAATGAGCACTGTTTCAGGCTCTGCTTTGTGAGGAAGCTAAAGTTTCCTGAGAGTTCACATTCTAAATATATTTAAACAAATACTCTCTTAATATTCAGAGTTGGCTTGATTTAATAAAAGAATGAATTTAGTAGGGCAGAGTGACACACACCTATAATCCCAGCAACTATGGAAGCTAAGGCAGGAGGGTCACAGGTTCAAAGGCAGCCTCAGCAATTTAGGGAAATTGTGTTTCAAAATTTTTTTAAAAGGGCTGGGGATGTAGTTCAGTGGTGAAGTATCACTGGGTTCAATCCCCAGTTCTGAAACAAAACATCAACATTTAATGGTGGGCTGGAAATGTTATTAACTCAGTGGTAGAGCACATGCCCAGCGTGCACAGAGGCCCTGGGTTCAATCCCTAGCACTGCCAAAAAATAAAAAAATAAAAATAAAATTGTTGGTCTTTCAAAGTATTAGGTATACTCAAATCTGTTTTCAAGCTTTCAATTTGCTTTCCCTTCAGAAAACATTTAATAGAAATGCAAAAAAAAAAATTACCCTCATCAACTCAAGTATCCTGCATATTCTCAATTCATTTTGTGGCTGCTGAAAAAAAATGATACCATCAGCTGTAAAACTACAGAACTAGGTTAAAGTCCAAATCCCACCACTTGGTAGTTGTATGACCTTAGGCAAGTAATGTGGAAAATAATATCACCTATGGGTCACAAATCCCAAATGACTTTTAGTTTACATAAAAGAATTGTCTTCTGGCTGTGAAAGAGCCAAAGAAACCATCCTTATTCTAAGACAGCTTACTAAGATTTATATGCTATATTACTTGATTACCCTTGAAACCAAAGAATCACAAGTAGGATCAAGAGACAAAATTTAATATATGCACACAGTTTTATATATAATGCAGCATCACACCATGTAGGGCATTTACTCTTATTTTGTACATTCAGATATGTTTGAAACACTTCTTAAGGCTACAAAACAGAACATAGAAAAATAAACAGGAATATATTCAACACTTACAAAAAGTGATATGATAAAGAATATAAAG